ACAGAGTTTGCATTCGCTCACGATAAAGGAGTTTGAGGTGCTTAAAGCGATTAAAAAAATTGACGCTGTGAAGGGTGCCGGCCCGGATGCGATTCCGCCGGTGTTTGTGAAAAGATGTGGTTCTGCGTTGGCTTTGCCTCTGACCTTAGTGTTCAATCGATCATTAGCAGATGGGACATTTCCGTCGGAGTGGAAAAGGGCACGCATTGTTCCGGTCTTTAAGAAAGGGGAAAATTCTGACGTTCAAAACTATCGTCCTATTTCCATTCTGTCCTGCTTTTCCAAGCTATTTGAGTCGATTGTTTATCCAGTGATCTGTCGGCTTGTGGATGACAGCATCTCAGATTCACAGCATGGTTTTAGACGTGGTCGCTCAGTCGTCACAAACCTGGTCCCTTACATTTCTAATATATCCAATGAAGTTGACTCGGGCAGGCAGGTTGACGCCATCTACACTGACTTTAGCAGTGCCTTTGATAAAGTTAACCACTCCGTTCTTCTGAGGAAATTGTATGGATTGGGTGTGGATGGGGCACTTTTGAAATGGTTTGAGTCCTATTTAGGGCAAAGACCTCAGTCGGTGGCTGTCAACGGATTTAACTCAAATATCTATTTTGCCGATACTGGTGTTCCTCAGGGATCGCATTTGGGACCTCTTCTGTTTGTAATCTTCATTAACGACATAGTTGAAAAAGTAAGACACTGCAAGGTGTCACTGTTTGCCGATGACCTCAAAATATATAAAACCATATATTCCGTTGGTGACTCTCGTCAACTACAGGGTGACCTGGACGCGATACTGGACTGGTGTCGCGTCAATGGTATGAATCTTAATGCCAGTAAATGTTTTCATATCAAATTTACAAGAAAAAGGAAGCCAATTGCAACGGAATACATGCTTGGTGATACAGCATTAGTGGAGGTCAACGAAATCCGGGATCTTGGCGTGATAGTTGATAGTCAGCTTAGGTTCACCTCACACATTGACAAGTCTGTCACAAAGGCGGCTCAAATGCTCGGATTTTTAAGACGGAACTCGACTGGATTTAAACATCAGCGCACTAAAATCTTGCTTTACCAATCCTTGGTCCGTAGTCATCTTGAGTTCGCCAGTGTTGTGTGGAGTCCGTTTTATGCGGTGCATTCGCAGCGCATTGAGAGTATACAGAGAGCGTTCACTAGACACCTTGCTTATAACACTGGTGGATTTTCTCACAGGAATCCCTATAAAGAGCGCTTGATTAGGTTTCGAATGCATTCTCTTCGTGAGCGAAGACTTTTGCTGGACATGACCTTCTTTCACAAAATCATAGGTGGTCATTACCGGTGTAGCTACTTTCTGGAGAACATGCCTCTGCGTGTCCCCCGTGTCTATCCTCGAGGAAAACTTAAATACATTTTCTACATTCCACCGGTAAAGTCTAATTTGGGACGGCAGGCACCTCTCCGTAGAATAATTGATGAGTACCACTCCCTTATCTCAATAATACCCGATCTTGACGTGTTCCACGATGGATTAAGAGTATTTAGAGGCAGGATTATTGATGCACTATAGTATCGTTTGTTATTGTTGTTGTTGGTGCTGCTTGCTGTTTTGTACTTTGACATCTGTTTTAAACTCTGACATTTCTTTATATTATTGAAATTATTTTGATTCTGATTTAATTGACATTTCTTTGAAATCTTGACGATGATTTGACATTTTATTATATTATATCTGTATTAAATTATTATTATTAGACTTAATATGGCATACATTCTAATTAATTTTTGTTGTTTTTGTTGTTAATTTGTTTTGTTTTAATCAGACATAAGATAATTATATAGAAAATTGAACTTGTTAAATTCTCGTTTCAATGTGTGTATGGTGTGGAATATTGTTGTTGTTTTATTTTCCGTAATTCTCAAATTGTATTTTATTTTTAAGCCACTGTTAAGCCTATGAATTGCCAATGCTATGTACGCCATTATTGTCGCATGCATCAGACCCTTATTTTGTTACTATTGTGTATTTTCAATGTTATATGTTTGTGATGTGGCCGTACTCCTTCGAATAAATAAATAAATAAATAAATATCAACCTATCTCAATCCAAAATCTAACAAGTGGACAACAATAGCTTTTTGGCGGTAAATGACGCGGTAAGTGTCGATTGTCGCGCAATGCCAAATGACTGTGGGCCCTAGACGTGAATTGAAACAAGTTGACTTAACACCTCGAACGGTTACGCTAATAACTTTTATATGTAATTATAAGATTACAAGAAATATGAACAACCCAACTTATAGACTTAAATTTTTAGACTCAAAGAAAAAACAAAAGTAGCTTAGTCTGGAAGCCATCGAATACCTCACATTTTTAAACAAACAAAAATTGAATTGACATCCGAAATCAACCCACCTTACTCAGCCAGTCCCTGGCATGTGACACAGCAGTCTGCAGCGCATGGTAGGAAGGCAAGGCAGCCTCGATCTCCTCCCCGTCCGCCAGCAGCGCCTCCAGCTCCGCCAGCGTCGTGTACTGCGGGTCTATGTCCGACGGAGGGTTCTTTGTTGTGTCTACTAACACTGCACGGGCACGGTTCTCCCATTCATCTACTTGAGCTGCGAAAGAGGAAATTAAATTATTGTTTCATATGAACATTATTGGATAAAACTTGTATGATAAAGAAAGTGATTAATTGGAGTCTGGACAGGATTTCATACATATTTAATTAATACTGATTATCAATAGTTAATTCTATGAAGTTCTGTTTCACATGTATGTATGTTTGTCCGCTACTATCTCACGATGGGCTCAACTAGTTTAATGCAGTTCTCGAAAGTGTTTGTTATACTTAGGAACAGGTTTATTACTCAAAGAGCATGATAAAAAGAAGTTCGTGGTGACATAAAAGGAGAAAAAATTAACATGCCAGCTTGAATAAAATAAAATAAGAAAAGTTTAGAGATTTTTCATTCAATTCTTGTAGTAGACAGACATCAAAAAAAAAAAGAAGGAGGAGGTTTTATGTTTAGATGATAGTCCTCTTAAAAAACAACATACCTTTAAGACTGTGTAGTTGAGCTCTCTCGGTCTCGATCCTATGATGTGGCAGTACGGTGTCAGCCTGCTGCAGCAGCCTCTGGATGAGCTCCGGAGTCAGGGTGGAGCAGTCCTCCCTGTACGCGCGCACTGACTCCAGGAACCGAGCCTGCGCCAGCCGGGACACCAGCGCTGGCAGGGCGGGGAGGACTATACACAGCCGGGAGCCTAGCTCCGATGTCTGGAATATTGAATTTAGAAATGAATATCTAGGGACACAAGTACATTGGTGACGCATGTGATAACATGCAATGTAATGTATTTTATTATATAAGTGTGTGTGCCTATGTGCAGCTGCGCCTGCTATTGTAAAATTGTTTTAGTCGCAATATAGCATCCATTCTATACTGTTGTCTGTGTATCATTTACGCTCCCCATACACAACATCTTAAGAACAATACTATCTTCTACAAATATTTTGAAAGTTTTTTTTTTAGTATGAACAAGAACAAATCTATATTAATAAAATGAATCGTCAAAAAAAGTATGATTACATTCTTATCAACTACACCAAATTAAATATTTTTATAAGTTCGTCGTCAACCTATCGTAAGTAGGTGTCTATAGCTAAAGAAAGGCCCTCTATTTTGAAGAAGGTATTTAATCCCCAAAAACATATTTAAATAAAATTGACGACTAGTCGCAGATATAGGACCTTCTAGTGTCTAGGTGAAATGATTTATGCGCAAAGAAGCTGGCAATGATTGGATGCTAAGAGCTAAAGAACATAATTCATTATTGGAGACGCCAATGACCAGCAATAGACCAAAATATACTAATGATGATGTCAAATAAAATGGAAAGAAAACTCACCTCTTCCAATTCTCTGACATATGCTTGATCAGTTTTCTCCAGATCCTTATTGAGGAGCTCGGTGGCTCGGGTCTCGAACTCCGATGTCTGTCGTAGCACTTCTTTTACTGCTGAGCCTAGTGGAAGGAACAAATACAGTTTAATTTTTATATTGAAAACATACAAAATTTTACGTTTACTAAAAAAAATTGTATTTGAGGACCTGTGAGTTCGTTTCAGCAAGTCTCCTCAAAGTAGTCAGTTAGGAAATGTTGGCGTCATCTCGATTTTTTTTAATTGATGTGCGAAGTGCTGTTTTGAAGCATATTTGCCAAATAAATTCACTTGTAAAAATGAATACAAAGATTTCAGTGTTTCCCAATCATTTAAAGATTCACAAATCATTCTTCATTGATTTCCATTTTTATAGAAATGACAGGTGTCATTGTTTTTAAGACTTATTTTACGAAATATTATTTTTGTTTCGTAAACAATTTTTTATGTATAAAAATCAAGTAACAAAGAATATTGATTACTTTTTTAATATCTCAATGAAAACCATACCTTCTGGCAACACGCAGGCGAGTCCGTCGATCTCGGCGGCGAAGAGTGTGAGCTCGTGTATGGTGAGGCGGTACTTGGGGTCGTGGTGGCGGGTGCGCGTGCGCATCTTGTTGAGGTCCAGTTGTTGGATCACGGACGCGCATTTCTCCGCGTCTTCTATTGCCGTTTCTAGAGCTCGGACTAGCTCTGTTTTGTGCATCTGTCGATAGAATATCAAATTAATATGTTAGTGATTTTTTTTTAATTTTGATTTAGACTATATTTTCTACTGAGTCTGGAGAGTGTCTACTAAATAATAACTTAGGGATAATACAACGGAGTGTGCCGTGTACGAATCGATCAATCGCATCCGTGATACATCGCGGCGCAACCAGTATGATATTTATTACGCTAAACTACGATGAATGACATCTAATTTATATTCTTCAAGGTAACTTTTTTATTCTTATAAGAGATAAAAAAGGCACAATCCCTGTGACAAGGAGAGCTTTATTGAGCAATAGATAACTTCCAAATGCTAATGATAGTGATAAATTCACTAAAAAAACATTTATTTTTTTTACCTTGAGATCATGAGCCCTTTTAAGATGTGCCCTCAACCCATCGAGGTCACAAGTCTTGGGTGTGTCCGGGTCCAAAGCATTTTGTACAGCCTCGGCCCACTCGCGGAACTGTTCAGATTTCTTCTTCAACTTCTCCAACATCGCTGGTAACTCATCAAGGGTGTAACGGTATCTGGAAGTGGATGGGTAGGTTTTAATGTCGTTTTAAATTAAATTAATATTGTTCTAAGTATAAAGAGATATTTTTAAAGTTGTTTATAAGATGATGGAATGAGGTGTAAGACAGATTTTTGGTTATGTTTCGTAAACGTAAAGATGTACTAAATTAATTAGAATAAATAGCTAGGTCTCTGTAGCCTATGATTATGAGTCCCAATCATGGTTGGAAATTAATTAAGCATTCCTCGAAAAGTTCACATGCATCCACAATTGATTGTGGATAGAATAGAGATCTATCTGGATTTTATTTGCAAACTTTTTCATATTCCCATAACATAACATTATTATTTAGTAATTTCCACACATAACAATTATTACTTGACTTTATCCATTAGTTCTCGCCTTAATATTGGCCCGAGTATTAACGCTGAAATATGTCAGTAAAAATTCTTTGTAAATGGACCGAGATTGTACGACATTAGTACAAATTGAAATTCAGTAGCCTTTCAGCATTGGGGCGTGCCCCGTAAGTACCGGAGCTTGTGCGCGTGCGGCGCGCAGGCGCAGAGCGCGCGGTAGTGGCGCAGACAGGCCACGGCGCGCGTGCAGGCGCACGCCACGCACGACAGGAAGCACGTCGTCTTGCACTGCGAGCACTGCCGCTCGTCGTCCGACAGCAGCTCGAACGCCTCGCGCTCCGCCTCCGTCACGCCCTGCGGGTGTACGGTTACTTGCATTTATAGTAAAGTTTTGGTCACACAAATGTTAACCTGAACACCAATATGTCATTTTATAATAAGTGTTACAAACAACACATTGTCGTCACTGAGAAACCGTTGTTGTATTTCTTTTTTATTTGCAATGGGTCAATGTTTGGTCGCTATTTTGGCTAGTGATCAGCAATAACACAACCAATAATGAACTTATAGAAGAAACTGAAGCTACATTTTAGCTGAATACCAACAAAAAAAAACCTTGTACAGACTAAGATACAGAAAATAAACATTGTAAGGTTAACTCACCCAGTCAAGCAGTCCCTTCCTGAGTTTCCTCTCATCGTGCAGCATGGTCCGCATGTCCCTGTAGGCAGCCAGTGCCACGGTGAGGCTGAGGGAGTCTGCCTCCAGCGCCATCTTGCACACTAGCTCGTCGTGGGAGAACACGCAGTTACGCCGCAGTGTTGAGTAGTGGGCTATGCATTCGCGACCCATTTTTAGCTAGAGTAAAATATATTATTGTTATTATACTGTCTGTGAATTTAAATGAGTGTGTATGGAAAAGAGGAAAAGTTAAGAAAACCTGGATAAATGTCTGATTAAAGAGTAAATTATACTAATAGCAGGATGACAAACTTTCTTTTTCATTATTTTAAAGCAAACACTGGTATAAATAAAAGATGTTTTACAATACCCATATTTTTTTTTTTTAATATCTTACCCAGTCGGCAGGTGTGAAATTGACAGCCTCAGCGAAGTTGTATCCTTGATTAAAACCGGCGTGGTACGCGCGAGGGAAAGTAATCACGAATTCACCGGCGTGTTGGTCCATTCTATAAACATACAACCATATTCTTTACTACTATAGTATATTACCACCAGACGGAATGGTGGCCAAACGACATCTTATTAAGTATAAAAAATAGTTTTGCTCATAACAAAGCTACACTTAAAATAAAGGTAAAAATATTACTTGCGCAAAACCTAAAACATTTAGCGCAAGTATGCAAATAAAACTGCCTACTTGCGCAAAGTTTGCGCTTACTATTGTAACTATTATGTAAGTGTAATATTTACCTATACACTGGAACTCCAGCCTTCATCAAGATGTTAGGGTTCATGATGGTAACCAGTTGATGCAGCAGATCTGGTTGCAGCTGAAAGAGCTCGGGAGCCTCTGCCTTCATGGCGGCTTCGAACTGTTCTGCTTTTGAACTTGGTACTCCGTACCTGGACAAGAATGAAAATAGTGTAAAAAAAGGGCATGAGAAGTCATATTAAAAAACCAATAAAGCCGTTAGGCAAGTTTCATAAGCAAGTCGACAAGAAAAGAATGATTGGAATTTTAGATTACCAAAAGTTTCAGTAATAGAGTGAGGCCTAAATTGAAACTATAGCAATAGGCTCGCTACGTTTTGTATGTGATTTATAACAACTCATAAAATTATTGTGCTATAAATTGTACAAAAGTTAAAAATAATATTATATTTTTCTTAACATCCTCATGAATTTAAAGGTTCCTGTGTTGGGGTGTGTTAATTAAAACTTCAACTTACCAAGTTTTAGGTTCTCCCCAATGTAAGTAGTTGATGGAGTAGCTCCAGTGGTCCTCGTTATGCCAACAGAAGGTCGCGAAGCACATGCCCACGTATAACCAAGGGATCTAAGAATATAAACAATATACAATTAATAAATAGTCTTACAATGTCTTATGGCAATTTTCACCAACAACCCCTACACCATCTTTTAACTGAGATTTACTTAGCGTGAGGGAACACCTAAATTAATCCCTTGTTTTGTTAGGATTTTAGGAGTCACTTAAAGGTTGGTGAAAACCAAAATGTCGTAATGAGTAACTTACATTACCTTAGGGGTTCCTTAAAAGTTATGACAGTTTGGAAAACGTGCATTGTACATTCATTTTGAGTGACCTTCTTAGAACAGCATAAAACCAATTGAGACAATCATCAGTTATTGTTTCTAAATTACCCAGAAAAAGTTAAAAATTAATTAACAATTAATGAAAACAATTAGTTTTGAATATTTTATTGCATTAAAAAAATCTAAATAATTTATTTTGACTAAGTAAAGTCTATACCTTCATCCCAGAGATATCTGCGTTGATATGTCCTAGTACGGAGCCTTCTAGCACGGGCAGGTTGTTCAGGTTCCAGCTCGACTCCGCATACTGCTGCTCGCCAGGGTACAGGTGCGCGTGCGTCTTTGTGGGGAAACCTGGACAAACATTACAGTTGTATTGTAACTAAGTAGTGAACTCTTAATGAAAAAATAAACAAACAAACAAGCTTTTAATGATCACAAGGCCACGTCATCTGAAAGAAAAACAGGCATTTTTTTAAGGGGAGAAAATCATCAAATGACTTCTCCCACCTTGTGTGAGATAAGAGGGAGTGGCAATATCCTACTGACTTTAAAACCTTCCCGTTCCACTTCTGCTTCGAGCCGGAGCAAAAGTGATTACTTTCGCTTTATGTGGCCTGGGATTATTGGTTTTGGCAAAGATATCAAAAAACTTACCGGAACCATGGTCCATAGAATGTAAGTCGGCGCCATATTCCACTGTAACATCTTCATCCAATGAGGAGACGACGCGCCAAAACTCTTTCTCCACTGTTGATGTTGGTACCATCTGGTGGGAAAAAATAATTTCAAAATCCATCAAAGGTTTATTCCTAAGATATTTAAGTATCTTTGCGTAATAATTATCGTAAAACCTACTAAATTATTGGAAAATAAGGTTTACCCGCGTAGATAATTGAGAACATCTCTACTGGTTTCAAATCACAATGGGATTCCTATTCATACATTTTATCTTACACTTTCGGATGAAACATCATGCAAAAAAAGAGATAATAATGAATAATGGCTATGGTAACATTCAAACCCATGGTCATACTTACATGAACAGGCATATTGAAGTAATCAGATTTGAATTGATCCGCCATCTCTCCGAATTGTTGTAGAGTATATTCCCGGGTTGCTTGTTCGAAACCAAATGCTTCCGTCGGCTTCGACACCTGATCACGACAAGAAAATTTTAGAAATAAATAATAATTGTTGAAGTTTTTATATTTATAAATGGTGTGAATTTTATAGACTGATTACAACAAAATAATAAATAATATGCGAGTATTATCTATGTTTGTAATTACTATCAAACATACACAGCGTAACTAATATTAAAGCAGCTTTAAAGTAACTAAATATAAATCTGATAATTTAATTTAATAAACACCAATCCATATAAATACTAACTAAATATAGTTTGCGCTAAAAACCTAGCACTTGCGCTAAGTGACTAAGACTTGCGCAAAGTTATCAGTAGTTGCGCTAAAAAGATCTACAGCGTGTGTACTACGAACCTCCTCAGCCAAGCATACAGGGCATCGCCAGTCTCCTTTAGGCACGTCTGCGAGCGGGGGGAGCAGGCAGAAGGTATGGTAAGAGTCGTCGCAACCGTCACAGAGCAACATCTGCTCCTCCACATCACCGCGCCCGCACACATGGCACATGTACTTCGCCAGCTGGAGCAAAAACAAACTCTTTGTTTTTTATCTTTAACGTTTGTTCCATAGTCACCGGTGATGGGGAATGCGGGTTTTGAACTCTACTGGTTAGGATATAAGGTCTAGTGATCAGACGAAGGTTTTATAAGTGAATGATGATTGTTTTCTTACGTAATTTATACGATTTTTTAAATTTAGTGATGGGATGGCCAATGTGCAGAAATGTGAATTTATAATTTACCTAAACGATGACTTTTCGACCTATACTGGACAACTCTTACTCTTTGGAATAAAGCTACTAATAGATTTAAGGAAATGGATGCAAAATGAATTAATAAAATACAATATTATATCATAATTAATATCATGCACTACTACCATTTAGATTAAAGATATATAAACATAATTAACAGTTAAAATAATGTACTCCTGCTAAATTGCTTTCTTTTGAGCATTATGAAAAGTTTATGAATACTCACATGTTTTCTGCGAGCAGTCTGGTCCATAACTTGTACACAAACAACTATACACGACATATTTGTAATCCAAAATAGATCATAATCATTGGAAATTATTTCTTTAAGATCTTGTAATGTAATCGACTCAGAGCGAGACTTTGCTTTAAAAGTTAAAATTACACAACCTGGTTAATCTCCATCAATTTCTTCAACTTCCTTGGAAACCTATAAGCATGAAGTAGTAAAATATACAAATATAATGTTACCGGGTCGTCAGGATGTAGTGCGTGGCTGGTAGGTGGCGCGGGGGTGACAGACACGGTCATGTTGGACATGCGATGCTCCCGCAGCCGGGTCGACCGGGTCACCCGGGACCTGGCGCCGCAACTACCTGCTGCTGACATCCATTTATTTTCACGAGGACCTGCGCAGAAGAAATTAAGATTGAAATATACGGTAACAGGTTTTGGGTTAAGAGTATCGGTTGTGTGTTACAAAGTTTTGTTTTGAAATGGGATGCGACATCTCAAAAATATTTTCTTATATGGGTACTTCTGAATGGCCATTACTCGCAACTTATTTCGTGTGATTTCGGTGTCTAACAATAGTATATTTACCAGAATCATATAAGCTATTGTATGTACTATGTATAATTATTACTACAAATTATTTACAACTCAATTACACTTTATGACTCACTTCGCCTATTTTCTGAGGGGTTCTCCTCTTTAATTGGGGTCTTCATTGCCTCCTCTTGCATCTGTTGAGGGGTTTTATCAGCCTGTATGGTTTCTGTAGAGGTCGGTCCGTCCGGGTCCGGTTTGAACCGACGGGCCGGAGGCGGTGTTGCGGCCGCCGTACATTTACTTGTCGATCGACTCCGCGTGCCACTTGCCTTCTCCGGCGTTTGTTCGCCTTTAACTTCAATTTTCTGGAGACAAAAATATTGTTAATGGAGCTCTGAAAATAGCTTAAAAAGAAACTTGAAAAGATGTTATTAGTACAAATATATATGTATATCACCCAAAACATAAGGGAGAAAGGACCCCTTAAGAAAGAAAGGAGTTTTTCACAATGCCCCCTTTTGGCAAACGACTATACATATAGATTGCAGATAAGTTACTCAAAATTGACAATGCCAAAACAGTACTACCGGCCATTTTACGGGGCAAATAATTGCAAAAACTCACAGTATCTTTATTATCCACCGCCCCATTGTTTTTGAAGATATCGTATCTGTAGAGGATCTTCTCGTAGTGGCTCTTCAGGATAGAGCCGATGCCCTTGCCCTGGGGGAAGCCCATACGACGGGCCACCTTCGACCACTTGCGCTCCGCTGAACATACTTCGAAACCACCTGTAGGACAAAAACAAATAAAAGAAAGATGTTAAAGAAAATAAATTGAGACATGAAACTCTATTATTCCTTATTTTATCTTCTTCAACTATCTAGTACTAAACTCCACATTTATTATTTTGCTTGCGTTACACTTAATATACAAAATCTTTGTTTTGCTTTGTAAATCATATCTCAGTTTGAGTCAGTCCAATAAAAGAGACTGGTCAGAAAACCAATAAAAGAGACTGATGGTGTTAGAAAACAGAAGTTCGGTTATTAAATGCTCTGTGACAAAATTACTCACAAGGCACAACAAGGCCTTTTATGTTCATTCAACAATTCCTCTCATTCCTGAGTCACATCTCAACTCTAATGAATGGAGCTAAAGTATTTGATTGAGAAATTATATTACTACGTGAATCACGCCTACGCATCCTAAACTTTAAGTCTTCTACATAAGCAAATTAGTTATAACAAGATTTGATTAATTTAACAGCGGCAGGGAGTATAAAGGCAGTCAAGTTTGCCAGAATTATCAATTTTAATACAAAACTAAATGTTAAACCAAGATGTCATTGACATTTGTATAGTTTTCAATCAATAACCATAACCTTAAATAGTTTTAGAATAAACATCACAAGTATAAATAATGTAGTGAAATGAAACCAACAAGTACAAATTATATTGTAAAACATTAACATACCTGCTTCTTTGACAATCTTGTGAAGGGCGTAGAGGTCCAATGGTTTCCTTTCAACAGTTGGGATCTTCAGCACAGAGCCCTGCAGCTCCCAAAACTTCATAATCTGGTCGAGGAAGTTTAACTTCACTCGGGTAATCGCCTGAGGGAAAGTAAATTCATAATTATGTCAAGTTCCATGTAATATGGGATGAGCCTATTGCCATATACTGGGCACAATTGCAGATTCCGTGCTACTACTGACATTTTTTTCAAAAACTCTTTAAGTCTTTGCCCGACCCGGAGATCGAACCCGAGATCCCTTACCCGGCAGTCGCACTTGCGAATACTCGGCCAACGATTCAGACCTGGGCACTTAAAACCTAATTATCACCAATCGTGTCGTGACACCAAAACAAAAATAGTAACTATATCACCAGAGTCATATTATCCCTAAGGCAAACTAGGCAGACTCCAAAGTCAGAGAGGAAAAAATATAGGAAAAATTAGGCGCGCCTGTGAGGTACTAGCCTAGGGCGCTTCCTAGGTTAAATCCGCCCGAACAAACACCCTTCTCACACAGATTAGAAATCTGTTATTTTATCCTATTGTCACTGTGTATACTAGGATGTAAACATACTTACTAGAAACACTTATCAAATTAGGCTAAACATTTGAACGAATCTTTAGAACTTTAATGACTTACTTAGGAGAAACCTATGTAATTAAATGCGACATAGTAAAAGAGGTCAAGGCCAGATAGCTCATATTGAAGATAATTAGTAATTAGTTTTTTTGACAAATATAGTGAAACACAATTGTACAGGCAAAATAAGAAGTTGATCAATATTACTAAAATGAATTATAATAGACTAGCTAGTTCGGCGCGCTTTCACCCGCTGCCCGGCTCCTACTAATCGTAGCGTGATGTATTATAGCCTATAGCCATCCCCAATAAATACACTATCCAAGAGAAAAAGAATTATTCAAATCGGACTAGTAGTTTCGGAGATTATGAGCGTTTAAGCAAATAAGCAAATTCTACAGTTAAAAAAAAAAACAACATTAAGTATATTTACTATCTATTTGAGTTAAGTAAACGCTTTACTATGCACTGTCCAGTTCTTAAAGTATTAATGACAATAACCTTAAAAGCAGGCAGTAAAGTAATAATTATAATGGGTCCTAGACTCCTAGCGGCTAGCACTAAGTTAGCCGGCTAACTCCAAGGGCACTCACATGATAATTAAACACTGGTTGACTGCAACTACTAACGCGTACGCACTACTGTTCATAATTAAGACACGCTTCTTAGTTAGTACATAATTAAATATTTATCATGAAAACTGAAATATTATTATTTTAAATCTGATAAATTGTAGTATAATCAAATCTTTGTGTACATTTGTGAAAAAAATAAAACATAAATCAAATGCATCACATCACACCTTTGTTCTAGGTAAAACCTAGTAGGTTCCATGGGCTACATAGAAACAACCATCTACTCAGTATAAAAAACTTGATCCTAAAAGCACAAATAGACGATCGAACCGAACCGTCACTTTTGTCCACTCTGGACCATATTGGATAGTGTGTACAGTGGTCTGTCACACATTTTACATGGATACCATTGGATCGCCGTATCAAATTGACGGTACGGTGGCGGTGAATTGAACCCATCAATTGTCTATTTGTGCTCTAAAAATATAACAACTTAAACCTACCTTAAATTATAAACAAGCATCTACTTTACACACAACTCTTTTATGAAAAATTTAAAGGTATTTGTTAAGTTAGTCCACTGGTCAAGGGCAACAAACTTAAATTTTAACTAGTTAATAAATATGTATTGATCAACTTTGATTCCCAACTGTACTCAATAATGGATAGTTTGTTAAGCAAACAATCATAGTTTACACAAGCTGAATGTGTCTTTACACTTATTTTCTACCATCGCACCTGTTTCATTGAGGTAAGCAGAACCTATGAAATAATTAATGACATTATTCTGGCATAGCTACATCTGTCACTTCATCTACATTGATCAATCTCTTTACAAGGGTACTTTGAATTCACTTTTGTTTTCAATCATCTGTTCACACCATGTTTTGCTTTTAAGTCAGAAATAACTATCAACTTAAACATCTTGTGATTGTAAAGAATAAATAAGAGAAAAGGTAACAAATTCTAGTATAACTGCTTACCTCCAACTCATTGAGCCTTTGTATCCTCGGTGTGAACCGTAACCGGTCTACATCAACTGCAAACGGAGGTTGCCAGTGCTGTAAACAAACAAACAAGTATTTAATTTTAACATTTAAAATACATGTTACAAGGTTTTGAGGAGTGGAGGGAGGGTAGGAAGGCCTTTGTCTCGCAGTCAGACAATCATGGCTTACAGTGAAGATAATTTAATACAAATATGTACAAGGAATTCTGAAATTTGTAAGTCTAAATTAAGGATTCGAAACAGAAACAACCAAATATGAGATACAATGTCTTTGTAACTTGAAAACCGCTCTTTGCAATATTTTATCTGAGATAACCATTATTTTTAATTAACAAAACAGAAACAATTACTTTTAAAATAACTCTGAAATTATCTATATTGTATAATTATAATAATCTAGATATTTTATAGGCTTTTTATCTTTGCCAATGATAATACAGTTCCTTGAAAAGGAACCAAGGACTTGATGATATAATCTGTCACTATTTAGAATGCCTAGGAATGGATTGGAGTAGTCAGATGTTATGGATATACAATTAAAGCACCTACTTCTTAATATTGAATGATTAAGTACTAATTATAATTACATTAACTCGTCAAGTACTGGTTTTGTAGACACAATTATAGAACAATAAGTTGCGGTCACCGGTGACCGCTTGGTGTTTGACAGTTTAAAAGGATCAGAATGTTATTTCATAATTTGTATTCCACTCAAAACCTAAGATATTATTTTATAAATTATGTACATATATAACATATTTATAAAACTGTAAAATAAAGATGGTTTTGATTTACAATACTTACTACTATTTTAAGCTATAATAGTGTATTTTTTTATAACAGTTGACATAACTATATATTTTTTAATCTTTAACCAAATCTAGTAGGATCACTTTTCCGCTACTTATTACTATCAAACATTTAGCTATTGCTTTGACACATGACAAAAAACTGCTTGAAGTTTATAGTGTCTAGGAGCAAATAGTATCATAGATATTATAAGCACTTTAGTTACTATTACTGATTCACTATCTAGGAACATTAATGTTGCATTGTTATGAGAAAGTTCATTTTCATTGAAATCTGTATGAAAGTAACTGTAACTTAGAGAACAACAGATGTTCTTTTATTTTATTGTAATTTGTATGTGTTTGCTAGAGGCACTTTCACAAATTGATACCATAGATAATAAAACAGTCAAATTCCTTTTTAAATGAAACTTCATTTAATGATCACTTGTGCAACATAAACTAAATATTAGGGAGTTGTCAGGCTGACCACAATTCAGTTAGTAGGTCAATTAAATATTTAACCTTCATACTATTTTTTACAGCTATTGGGTCACTTACATTGCTCATTACAAAGTAGGTTCAACAAAACTGGTAAAACTTTGCATTTCTGAAATCTCCTCTTAAGGAAAGATCAAAATTATGTTAAGTGCAAAATGAAAGATGAATCACTCACAAAGAAAATAACATAAGTAAATAAACACAAAGTGTAGTGTATTTTTACGAATATAACAGTACAAAATAAAATAGGCTTTTAGCAGCTTTATTTGGTGTGAAAACTTTGTGCCTACATAAATATGTCACTCAAAAATCAAGACACAAATTAGCACACAAATTGACATTAATAATCTAGAATTTAAACCTGATAGTGGCATTAAATTCACTATTTGTATTAAAGATACTGATATCAACATGGGGATATCCCTCTGTAAGTTATTGTTGTTAAACAATAAAAACAAAAAGGTGGTTTTTTTATATTCTTAAAACATGCACTTGAAATACTCAAGTACTTACCTACATGTTGTTTTTAACACTAGTTCTTGCATTAAAGACCATATTTTGGTTAATCGCCTATTACTACTGATGTATACTTTTCATTTTAGCAACACATTGTATTAGTTTTACTAAGGAAAGTAGTTTATGAGGAAATCCTCACACTTGAAATAACTGAAGAATGACATGATTTTAGGAAGTTATATTTCACACTACACACAACAGATAGATAAATCGTACTACAAAGATGGCACGGTTATTTTTTAATGGTACCTGAACACTTTTCACCGTTACTAACTATAAACTGTAGAAATTAGCACATGGCTTTTTTTTGAGGCACTTTTGTAAAAATAAAATAAATTTCATGAAACCATACTCATACCATAACATAATAATATTGTGCTAGGACAAATTCAATGGTTAAGATACTTATAACTTTAATTAAACAGGAAAACTATCAAGAATGTTACTTCCGGATGTAAAAATTTGTGAAGCAGCCTAGTAGTTATTAAATTAGAAGACTTTGGCACACATAGTAGAAAGCTCTTAAAATAATTGGCACTCAAAACATGGGAAGCTTCTGTAGTTTTTTTTTTATTTCTATTTTATCATCCACATCAGTAAAAGAGGTCTTATTAATTAGTTTTTAGAAGGAAAACGCAAATACTTTCTATTCAAATACACCACTAGAGCTTCAATTATTGTCAAGTAGTAAATTATTAAGGCAGTGAAGAAGCAAATAATATTTATCTTTAGTATAGTATTTCTGATAAAATGCTTCTAGATGGTCTTGACCACACTTTGAACATGTTATATCTAACAATTTCATAGAGAAGGTACTTAGATTATAACATACAGAAATAAAATTATTATTTATAAATTATTGCAACCAAGAAGTGCATGACAGACATTGTTTTAAAATTTTGCACATGGTTTAGTTAGCCATTTTATCTAAATGTATACAAAATATTAAAGTTGTAAATTATTGATTTATCACAAATGTTATGCAACATCTAAACATTTTAACTGCAACCCACAACTTTGTGGTAATTATCTCCTAATTGTCTTTACTGACTACACTACAATTTTAACTCTTTTTTTATTTTATACTTGTGGATGACAAAGCAATCTTGTCCCTGTGTGTGTTTCAAGCAAATCTACGGAGCAATATTCAGAAAGTAGGTCTTGCATACCAATAATTTAGTTGGATATTGTATAGCAAAGTGCACATTCATTCTCTTAGTGCCTTTGCCACCATTTCAAATGCTAATAATCCTGCCACAGCACTCCTCTTTGTCAAATTTTTGTCTAAATTTGACAAGTTCTGAGTAAATTACAGTTAGTCACGACAAAAACTCGCAATAGTTCTTTTTTTATCTAAACTATCGTAGGCAGGAGGGCATGACACAAAATGGCAACCAGTTTCCACAACACAATATGCAACTGCATTTATGGCCAAATAAACAAAATATTGAGCTGCAAACCTAATTCAGACGACACTTGACACGTAATACACGGGATTAGAAGGTAAAAATTAAATTTAGATAACGAGCAGCATAATAAGTCGAGGTAATATGGTTGCATCACACGTAATTCGCGAGTGGTTTTATGGTTAGAAAACTACTCAATATTCGTGTTTTAGTGATAATAACGCTGTTTAAATGCCTATTTACACACTCCCTACTCGTCGAAACAAAGAAATTTACTCACCGCTGGAGGTTTTATCTTGCAAATGCCCGACTTCTCAGCGATTGGTCGTATTTTGCTGATGTATGCCAGGGGGTCCAAGAATTCTTCTGGCGTAGGTTCAAACACCGGAGCCTCTGGAGGCGGGGTGAACGAGAAATTATCAGGTTTCATAGTAGGGGACGCCGAGTCCCCCATGCTAACTTCGACGTTAGCTTCGTCACATTTTCCCATTTTTGAGAAACACTATGCAGTTCACACAAATGCAACTATAAATAAAACTTTAGCATCATCTGATGTTAAGGAATGAATAAAGCACGACCACAAAGAAATAGAAGCATCAGAATTAGTCTTTCCATAGGGAATCACAACGAGATAATAAATGAAATTATCACCAACAAATAACAGAGTTCACTTGCACGTCCGCCATGCGAAATTGAACTTTCGAAACTGCGGTGTTGCCAAGCGAGAAAATAATTCATTGCGCACTCAACTCTTCTTTTCCTTGTGCATTTACGAAGTTACTTTCCTATCTAATAAATACTGCATCATTTTAATTTTAAATTTTATTTCAGTATAAATGTCATGGTTTTATTATCATTTATTTTTGCCAGGATTAACATTTAAATACAAAAATAAATAGTTTACTTACATATCCACAACTAAACGTTGAAAACGGTAGAATTCTAGATATATTAACAAATTCCTTCAATAGTTTGTATTTTAATTTTCAGTAAACTTATATTTTTAGATGATTTTGAGATGATTACTTCAACATTTACATTTTAGTTCAGAAATATTTAGCAAAATCATAAAGTTAATTAACGTTTTATTTTCATAAATATAGAAGAACTTAGTGGGTAACTTTAAGAAAAAAGGAAAAGAAAATAATATGTAAAACTTTAACATACACTAAAACTATTAGAAAAAATAAAATAAAAGAAATATGAAAATGACCTATTACAGAGAGCATAAAAAAATAAGATATATTTTAAAGGGGATGGGGACTTACCAATGTTTGCTCACAAGATGGTGCTAATTTAGAAGGTTTTTTGTCCAATTACAGCAACTGTCAAATATTGAACGTCCAATGGTGTGACACTAGCTAATATTCTATTGGACGAAAAACAAAAGAATCATACTAGTGTCATCAGTTGGACTAAAATATGGTAGGCCACATTCGACTGGTACTGCTGTTAATAAGTATAGGAATCAGAAAACATTATCATGTCTAGTTTAAACCACAATACGATTGAATGACACATGCATTTTACTACAAATATGTTAAACGTGTTACATATTTCAATATCATTTACATTATTTGTATGTAATTCGTGGGCAATAAAGTGATTTAAAGACGTGTCTTTGAATTAATAACCGGCTTTTTTAATACACATCAAGCCTCAACAATATAAATAAGTAAAAATGAATTTCCATCCGTTAGTCTCACTAAAACTCGTAGAAGTCAAATGTTCGTGGAAGTCCAGGGAAAGTTTAAACGATGAGAAAAAAAATAGGTGGTACGAAAGGGCATTGATTAAAATTGGTGCCTTTCTTTTTTCTGGCGGCAGTCGATGATTTATGGAAAATATTATCTAGAATGACATTACAAACGAAATTGTCTATGGGCTTACATATGGAAATCTCAGTCTGGACTGAGTTATGAGCGTTGAAACGAGCTGGATTCAAACATTTTACTTCGGTTTTTTATTCAAATTATTCATAGTTTTGTCACAATTTCTAACTTGAAATTGCGCGCCACTGTACTCCGGGCACAGGAAAACCATATCACACCACAATATATTCATATTGCCAGGCACTAATTTTTATTACCTATTTTCTCTCAGTCGGTAACTTGTGGGATGCTTCTAGGAGTTGTGTCATGAAGCTTCATGAGCGTCAGCTGTGGTACCAGTGGTGGGTTGAGTAGTGGTAGCCGTCCAAACATCTAGTAAAGTATATTTTTTTTGCCATTGACTCCTGGTGGGACACTCATCTACTTAATAGTTAGCATAATCTTTTGAAGAAAGAAAACCGTCGACTTTAAAAGTGATCAGCGCTATTCAATCCGCTACCGACGCCGCAGCTGACAAACATAGCATTTCATGATAGGGCTCAGTAAAGTATTTTGCGGGTTTTTGACTGAGAGGAAATTGATCATGAAAATCTGTCATAGGCCATAAACCGTATACATATAAATTGAACACGCTAGCCAATCAAGCGAAATGTTTCTTTTTCTTCAGCAGTTGTCAGTTAATGGTTCACTCTGTTCTGATTCAGTGGCCTTATAACGAAAAAAAAAACAAAAAAAAAAGTAAAAAAAGTCCACAATAAGCATTATTATATTCCTTGAAATCGTTTATAAACATTTATTACAAAATATTTCTGACAAGTAAATGAAGAAATATGCGTTGTGTACGGTCACCATCAACAAAATCACAGGGTAATATAGCACTATTTTCACATCTTTGAACTGATTAAACTCGGTTCGGACTGTGTTTTTGATATAAGACCCCATATATTTTTTTGTTTGTAATGTTATTCTGCATCAGTTTTTCCACATCCGATCAACTGCCGCGAAAAAATTAAAAGGCACCACGCTCCATACAAATTTGGTCATTGTCATTTGCCGGGTCATTTAGTTTTAAATAATTACTCAATGCATACGCAAAATCAATTTTACGTATCTAAGCACATCTAATATATCATCTAATCTAGCATTGAATTTTTAACATTGCGGTCATACAGATATCCCTATTTTTCTAGAATGTGACATTGAAGTCACGTTCGAATAAGATTTTTCAATGATGATGTATCTCTTTCTAACAAACGTGTACTCAAAGTGAACAAAAGAGATAAAGCTATTCAAAGTTCATAATGCTTTGGAGTTGCCATTGCCAGACATCACATTTACATCTTTTATTTATTAGAAAACTCCTATTGCTAAATTTTAAGAATTTTTTTTAGAAATAATAATAATTATACTTTCTGGAATACATTTTTCATAATAAAATATTAGAGGATACTTTCCGTTCTCCCACGTGGTCAGTGTTGCAAGAACATTCAATGGTTCTATAAGTCTCTTCGTAAACGCCCCAACCTGAGTGCAATCGATGAACACATCCGTCATCCGCCGCCATTTGCGAAAGGCTGATCGCTGCTCGGCAGCGCGAGTGTCATCGGTTTGACTATGTCGAGTGTATAAATTGTTATTTTCGATTAAACTGTGAACTCAGTGCGAGATTATAATCAGTTAAAATGATTGTGAGGTTTTTGAGCGTTTTGTGCCTCGGAGTTTTGGTGACTTCGGTGTACGGCGCTGAGGGAAACAACGACAATGAAGGTACGTAATTTTTACGTGTGTTTTATTTATTTTTTTAACATTTACCCAATTTTACCGGTGTGCGTAATAGAGTAATTTGGGTCAAAATTATTTATATTGGTCATCTGAGTCATTTTTCATTCAGAAATAACATAACGGTGTGATCTAAATACGAAATGAAGTTTGTGTCTTTTTTCTTGTGTTATGCATTTATTTTAAAATGAAAATGGTTGAAACTCGTGTGTGAAGCGTCGATGGGATTGGTCAGAGGTGTATGCGGTACCGTGTGGCTTGAGTGTTGAGTGGGTGTTAGATAGTGAGACCGGCTTGACGACTTCTTGCCATGCACAATGCATACACACACACTGGCAGGCTCGCTGCGCGGCTCCGCGCCACCTCTCGTGCCGTGGGCGACCGCTGGCTTCGTTTTTGCAGTTGATTCATTGGCTTGATGAATGTTACTCAATGTTATGATCAAGTAGCTGTAATCACACAGCTATTCCTGGTTCCTAGGGTCATCAATGATCTCATTATTTCATCACTCTGTTCGAAAGCACAAACATTATTTAAAGCTGTACTATAATACTACGAAATTATATGCATTTTCTTTCTGTGCTCGGTCTGACAGTAATGTGAAGCTGTTAAGAAACTTAAATGGAACTACATTAAACATCCCAAGTATGATCTGAATTTAGTTTAGATCTTAATTAGTCTTATTCAAATATGTTATAAAAACAATCCATTCTACCTAATTGACTTTTCTTGTTCAACCTGTTTATAGGACAAAAAACAACTTATTCTTATTTGCTCATTTTTCGAAGATAATAATTTCTGACATGGGATGATTCACTATTTCATAACATAACAGCAATGGATGTTTGTAGAGCTAATTAACAAGATATGGTTCAATAATTAACACGAGATGCACAAGGACTTTGATTAGAACTGCATTTCTGTTTGAAAACACAAAACTGACTGCTCCCTAATTTATGTAGCTTTTTATTTAAGGGTAAGCAAAATCTTGTCCTTATCGTCCTAGATTAGTTTCTAAAACATCCTTTAAGGAAAATGTTATAAAATAGAAGCAAAAGCAGTTTTATACCCCTTCAAATAGCGTTGGTTTCACTTTAACTAATGTTACCGTAATGAAAACATATTTTCTGTTACCATAAGGTAAAACTAACCCCAGTAATAAATAAACTAATATCTAACAGACATGTCTTCAAGTTTTCTTTGAGTTCAAGGCTGATACTGAATATTACAGTAAGTACTTGGTAACATGTACTCACATCACCATGGTTACCATATACTAAACATTACTTCTGTTAAATATGTGAAGACATTGTATGATGGACATCAAGGTTCCATGATAAAGTCTGATAAAAACTAGACTATCTCTTAAACTAGAACAACTAATTCACTTGGGAGCAAAGAACCAAGCTTCTAACATTTTTTCTGTTTTATTTATTGATGAATATTTTCTGATACCAGTATTTTATTAATTGGTAACAAATGTCATATGAAAGACAATTTAGCTATCATTAAAATGTGAGCATTTTGTTGTAAAAAGAATATTTTTTTAAGTTGTATAGGGTTCGATAAAAAAACACTAACTAGAGGCTCCGTTTTCTTTTTTGCTCCCAAGTATAGTATTAATGGTATTAGAAAATTAAACATCTGAAGCACAAATGATCGATTTCCGATGTAAATTACGAAAGTACTATGTCCCCAGGCCCATGATAGGCTCCAGTTGATTTATGTACAAAGTTGAAGGCTGTATATACTAATTACCTTCAGTAATACACAGACAGGGAACCTTCGTAAATAACTTGGTAAGTAATGAGTGTCTGTCTCAAGTCTCAACAAGGACCATCAATCAATCAACCCAGATTATACAGCATTACAGTTTTTGGACCACAGATTATGAAATAAATAAAATTTAAAAATATGTTGTGATGTTTTTGTTCGTTCTCTAAAAGAGAATATTAATGTACCTAGTTACTAGTACTTACTTATGAAAAGACTAATTTATCAAAACTCCTACGACGCGACAACCGTGTCCCTAGGATCCCTTTGTCTACTTATTGTATATAGCATAGTAGAACAAAAAGGTCGAATTATTCAAGTAATAAATATGAAAATATAGGACCTTGCTTGCAGTGATAGACGAATAATTTTGACCGCGAAAAAATTCTAATAAGAATTTAGTAAGATTAGAGTGACGCTCACATAATAAAAATCACTTGATTAAAACTAGTAGTTAATCTTTATTCATAAGCATCTAGATGACCTATACACTGTTTATTATCCACCCTACATGTACAGATAAACCTCAAGCGTACCTTATAGAGCTGCAGTATCGACAGGAAGCGATACCGCTGCGCTGCAGAAAACGATATAGTGAGCCAGGTACAAACATAGGTGCATACATTCATATTTATAAGTAATCAATTTACATCCACATTATAAAACAAAGCAGACACATTCAATGTTTCATTGATCAGCAACTCTGTATTCAAACCGCAAATAATTATATCATACAAAGTCATCGTCCTATTATTTAGGCAACATTTCGATTCTAGACTTCCTCCCCTGCTGAATAGGTGGTCGAAAATCACGAATGGCAACATTAACCGCGAATTAATTTGATATTTGCATAATTTTGAATGTCTACACGTAGCTTCGATGACTAATACGAATTCGATCCACAATGTCATCCGTTTGTAATGTAGCTTCATCGATATTCAAATTAGATCGAGTTGTTGATGGCACTAATATTGAAGATCATCTGTACTTAGACTTTTGAAGGGCAGAACCGGAATTTGTACTAATGGGGACTTAACTACAAAGATCTGGTGTAAACAAAATGACCGTCAGACAAAAGCGAAACAACAATTGTAATAATTAGGTTAGACGAGGAATCGTTAAAAAGGGAAATTGAAGAGTCAATTTTAAACCGAATAAGGGACAATGATCCGTGGTTAAGCTATTAGCACGTAACTGACTTCTGCTCCTGAATACTAATCCCAACTAACTTGAAGATGTTATGCCAACCTGCGATGAGGTAATAATCTAGCTCCAGAGAGCTACCTGGCTAACTTTAGAATGACTTGATAATTTTACGACCTAGCAATGTGGAGATATCTTTGCCAGTTGGAGAAACAGTTTATGTATGAAAAGCGACTTTATGATATTCAAGAAACGTTCCTGTACTTTTAATAAGCAAGCCAAAGGCACGTTCTACACATTGAAGTGTTCCGCTATGGTCGTGAACTCGTGACTCGTGTCTGCTGCACCGCACAGCGTCGCAATCTCGGACTGTCTCAGAATCAATTTCACGGAGCCCTGGCGTCCTCAACACTGTTGCTCAATTGTGGACAAAGTACCGTAAGATAAGAAAATTTATGAGGAAAAGATTCTATCTGCTCCGAGTAAACGAAGTCCGTGGAAGATAAAAATCTTAAAGGGAATCAAATAAATGAACTCTTTGAAAGTCGCAACTGAATTCTGTATTCGTAACAATGTTTTGTACTTGAAATCAAGGGAAAAGTTTGTTAATGTAAAATGAGGTTCGTTGGTCAGGGGAACAACTGCGATGGCAGAATAGTTTACGGTAAAAGGACACGAACTCGTTAAGTTAACGCGACACATGGTGTTCGCGAAAAAGAAACAAAGCTTCAGTTCAAGTTACTGACCATACAAATAAATTTAAATGTAAACTACGCTATTTAATATTCATGTTACATAACATTCCGTCAAACAATGGTTCAGACGATACAACACTTGTATTACGTTTCTACATTGTCGACTGTTTCATTGTTGGAGCTATAATCTAGGTGCATCGCTAAATTTAGTATGTCTTGAAAATACTATATTGCTAATGTTAAACATACATATCTACCTACATGGTGGTTTACACCAAACTCACGGAGTTAGCATTAGATCATAGTTAGGATTATCTAGTCACAGTACTGGGTGTGGTCAAACTATAATTGGTAATCTTGTCATTGTTCACATTCAAGTAACAATTTGTCACGATGTTTGTAGATGAATGCTAAAAAGTTGTCGCGCTTGTCTGTGAATAGGCGGAGCGTGTCGACCAAGATTATAGCGGTAACACTTAAATATTATTTAACATTTTTATATTACACCCCGAATAAACAATAACGACACTTCAGTATGTTAAACAACCGCTTTGATAACTTTTGTATAATTAGTCTTATACGAAAGATAAGTACATTAAGTAATCGTGGAAGAGAAAGTTAGGTTGAAACATAAATATCTTTTATTTTATGGGATAAGCCGGTAAACGAGCAGACGGATCACCTGACGGTAAGCAATAGGCGTCGTCCATGGACACCCGAAACAACATAGGCGTCATAAGTGCGTTACTGATCTTTTGGGGTTAGAAATTAGAGGATTGTTGGGGATTCAGGTATTGGGGAGATTTAGGAGGGGGGAGGGGTATTAGGCCTCCGGTAACCTCACTCACACCATGAAACACAACGCAAGCGTTGTTTCACGTCGGTTTTCTATGAGGCCGTAGTATCATTCCGGTCGACCCGGCCCATTCGTGCCGAAACATTGTTCTCTTACACTTAAATATCAACGTACTATAAAATTTGCATGAAAAGTAATCATTTACTGGTTTCTGGCACATTCTGGGCCTCTGGGGACACAATACAAAAGCGTTTCAGTGAGTTCTTTGATAACCTGAGCATTTATATAAAGAAGAGGCCACGGTGTACAGAAAGTATTTTCCTTTCCAAAGGGTCTCTGATAACGGTTCCTACAAAGTGTGTTCATTCAGGCAAACTGTAATGGAGTCTTCTCAACAATTCTACCTAAATTCGTGTACCTACGTATCTTTAATTGAATTCATTCCGAGAGGTGTCAGACATCGTGGTAAACTTTTATTAAGACCTCATGAAGATAAACATCTCGTAAAATAGATCCGGTTCTTGATAACTATGCTTCACTGATTTATCATTCGCTCTGCTCAGACTGAAAATGTGGTGTTA